CCGGCCCCTGGGCCGGCCCCAGCGGCAGGCGGGGGCGTGGGCTTGGGCCGGGGCCGGTTGTAGCTGTTGTACCTGTCCGTCGCCGGCTCGCCGGCGCTCTTCTCCGCCTCCGGCTGGTCCAGGGCGGACTTGCGCACGAACAGGGGCTCCTTGGGCTTGCTCTTGCTCGGCTCCGGGGCGGAGGCCGCCGAGGGGGCGGGGGCGGAGGAGGAGGCGGCTGCAGAGGGGGCGGGGGCCCCGGCGCCCTCCGGTTTGCCCGAGCTCTGAGTCCGCGGGTCGTACAGGCTGATCCCGCTCAGCACGCTGCTCTGGCTGCCGCCCCCACCCCCCACCCCTCGGGCGGCCCCGCCGGCTGACAGCAGCCGCGGGTCGTATGGGGCGATGGTGGTGGACGACGGGGGGGAGGCGGCTGGGGCAGGGGGCTGGGGGGCGGCCGCGGGGGCCGGGGCCTCGGCGGGCTGCTTCAGGGCTGGTTTCTGGGGCAGCAGCCGGGGGTCAGCTGGGGTTTTGCGCATGATCCTGGGGTCCACCGGCTTCTCAGCGGGAGCCGCCACCGCCGCCGCCGCCGATGAGGCCGCTGCAGAGGGCTGGGGCGACGGGGACTGCTGGGAGTTGGGGGAGCCCCCGGAAGAGGCGTTGACCGTCTTCAGGATGCGGGAAATCAGCTCGAAATCCGGGAGGGAGGAGGGCACAGGGTCCGAGGCAGCCGGGGGGGTGGGCGTGGAGGAGGTGTGGAGCAGCTGCTGGGCCCTGTTGAGCCGCGGGTCCATGCTGGTCACGGGCGGGATGCCGGGGGGCAGCGGGAGCAGGTCCTGTTTCGGGATGGGCAGGGGGATCAGGTCCTCGGGGTTCCACAGGACCGTCTTGGAGAAGTGGGGCTTGTGCAGGACGATGTCCTTCTTGATGTGGCTGAACTGCTGCAGCTGAGACCGCGGATCCCGCAGCGCCTGGCCCAGCAGGGGCTCCAGGGGGATGGGCACCGGCTTGTCCCTCAGCACCCTCTCCCCGTCCTCTTCATCCGCCGCCGAGGAGGAGGAGGCGGCGGCGGCGGCAGCGGTGGTGGTGGAGGCCGGGACCGAAGACGGGGGAGGCTTGTGGTGGGCCGAGGCGTGAGGGGCTTCCGGCTTGGGAGGCAGGCTGGCTGCGTGGCGGGCCAGCCGGGGGTCCACAGGGGCTGAGGAAGAGGAGGAGGAAGGCGCAGCAGAGGGGCTGCCCTCTGCACTGTGGCTGGGTTCTGCAGTCCGAGAGAGGCGGGGGTCCCGGGACAGCCTTGGGTCCGCAGGGCGGCTGGAGGCATGTGTGGCCTGGGACTTTTGCAGTCGGGGGTCGGTCAGGACGCTGGGGCTCGACTCGGACGAGTGCGCCTGCTTGGCAGCAGCCTGGGTCTGCTGCCTGAGGGTCTTCAGGATAGAGGTCACGCTGCCTCCACCATCCTCGTCCTCACTAGAGTACCAGTTGGCTGAATCGCCTGTTAAAATGGAAAACACAAAATCAGGCATGAAGAGATGTTCCTGAACTCATAAAAATGTATATGCCACTTATTACCTTGAGCTGATTTAAAACACAATAAGTAAATCAGTTTGACCTTTTCTTGATCAAGTAAGGCAGGTAATGTAAACTACAGAGGCTCGTTCTAAGCTGTAACTAAACACTGATGTAATTTATTTATTGATGACAGGTTACAGCCCTTTATAGAAACGCCATATTTAAACAACAGAAGAGCAACAAAAGACAAATTTAGCCAACAATCTGAACAGAAGCTGGAATCTTTACAGATATCTTGACTGGTAATTCTCAGCATGCTGAAGCCACTGTTTGCGTACGATTCAAAAACCAGGACCACCACATCGAGAAATTACTGTGTCCCAGAACACCAGAATGACATTGGACACACGTCGGATTGACACATGGAAAACGTGGGGTACCTTCCGTGTCCCTCTCGGCGCCCCCCTCGGCCAGCCGCCGGGCCTCCTCCTCCTGCTGCTTCTGCTGGATCCTCATGAAGAGAGCGCGCTGGGCCGCCGGCAGGAAGTCCGGCACGTTTATCCCCTGCTGCTGATTGGGCGCTCCGGCAGGGGCAGGGGGCTCCATGCCGCCGCCGCCCGCCTGGCTGCCAGGGGCCTGCTCGTGGAACGAGCCCATGCCGCCTTCCTCTTCCTCCATCCCTCCGTATTCTTCATACTCTTCTCCTGCAGGCACACAGGAGAGATCCCCCATCACTTCACACTCTGGACCCACAGGACAGCACTGGCCAGTGCTCCTCCCCACCTCACCCAAGAGCAGTGGAGCTGTCTAACACCACATGAGCATCTGCGTCAGGCCCTACAGTCGACCTGCGCTTTAGCTATACCTTCCACGGCTGTGTTTGTGCTCGGAGCTGTGCAGCATGCATCCCTGCCTCCAGGCTGCTCTGCGCGATTTCTGGCATGTGAGAAAGCTACCACATTGGAAGAATAACCAAAGAATGGCCAAGCACCTCACATTCATACACACTGTCAACATCTTCTTCCTTCGCTCAAGAGGATATGCTCTCTGTATTTGTGGGACGTCAGAGTTAAAAAATTGTCTAAGGCACAAAATGAGCTCAAGAGAACACACGTATGCTAAAGAAATAAAACAGGACTTTTTTCACTGCCACAGATTTGGACTCATCAGGTTGGAGACAAATTCTACGCTGATGCACAGATCACTGAAAGCTGCCCTGCTGGTGCTTCCCCCCTCTATGCCCAAGATGTGCGCCCAAGCTGTGTCAGCGTGCCAGTCTGTTGCGGGGCACAGGGTCTACTCACCCTCTTCTCCTCCACCCTCCATCTCCTGCTGGTGATAGAAGTTATCGTAAAAGTTCGGTCCGGGGGGAGGGGGTCCAGGAGGCATCATTCCAGGGTGGGGCGGCCCCTCTCCCGGCCCGAAACCCGGCATCATTGGCGGCCCGGGACCCATCGGTGGCGGCCCTTGGTTCATGCCAGGAGGTCCCATCGGGGGCATGTCATGCGGGCCCGGGGGCCTCATGCCTGGAGGCCCAGGCGGTGGACCGGGACCCATATGCCCTGGGGGTCCGGGAGGGCCAGGGAAGCGAGGTGGGGGTGGGCCTGGAGGACCAGGTGGACCAGGAGGGACAGGGGGACCAGGGGGACCTGGGGGGCCTGGTGGGCCGGGAGCTCTGCAAGAAAAGATTGTCCATTTCTTAAAGCTCAAATAAAAAGCAAAACTTTTTTTCAACAAAGTCTAACATGAATCACTTTGATGCAGGAAACATAACTAATACGGTCTCCATGCAATCCATTGCATGCTAGTCAATAAGAAACAAGTTTAATAAAAGAGTGAACTAGGGGCTCCTTCTGCTGGCTTGGCTCACCTGACGCCCAGTTTCTGTGCCAGCTGTCCGGTTGGCTGCACCACAATCTCAAACAGCGACGGGATCTTCTTCTGAGAGTTCCCGGGACAGGGAGGTGGGGGGGCCATTGGCGGGGGTGGGGGACCAGGAGGGGGTGGCTGTCCAGGACAGGGCCCGGGTCCGGGGGGTCCCGTGGGCATGGGGCCGGGGGCTGGGCCAGGCGGGCAAGAGGGGGGCATGGAGCCCCCTGGTGAGCTCGGATCGGCAGAGCCAGGCCGGGGTGGCGTGGGCAGCAAACCTACGCCCGGGGGTGGCTTGGGCAGGGGGTTGATGCCTTGCTTCTTCAGCTCCTCCACCTCCTTCTCATCCTCTGCACCAGCCTCGGCGTCCTCTGCTAGCATCTGTACAGGAAAGGGGCCGTTACCGAGTGGACTGGGACACTGAAGACCACAGAGCAGGCGCAGGAATCTGGCCGCCTGCGGTCTACGTCCAGGGATCAAGAGCTAAGAGGGCGAGGGACGGCCGCACCTTGTCCAGCAGGTCCTTGGTGTCATCCGTCAGGGGCTCGTGGGAGAACATGCAGTCGTCTCCATTGACGCAGCTTCCTGTGGTGTGGAACAGCTTGCAGGGGAAGTCGCGTGAGGCCGAGTTAAGGATGGAAAGACAGTCAAACAGAACTCCCCAGTGATGGGATGCCCGTCCCACTCGCACCAAAATCAGGTTCAGGCAGCTTTCAGCGCCCTCCTTTAGAGACTAGTGATAAATGAAAGCCTGACACATTGCAGTGCCGTGTCCTCTCACACTGGCATTTCTGGTCCAGGGTATACAGCGCCACCTGCTGCTTTACTAACACACATAGCCACAAGACGATTTCTCTTAGTAAGAAGCAACAGGACCATGTGCTTGAAAAAACACTCTAGAAATAACACGCTCCCAAACAGTGCCTTCTTTTAACAACCTTTCCCTGGATATTTAAACATTTTTTTATCTGTTGAGATAATACATTTCAGATGAATGGAATTGAAGGGTAAAATGTGTTTACATATACTCCAAAATACAGAGGCCCTGCAGATAAAAATAATACAGTTCAAAATGGAGCAGAGACCAACACATCCAGATCTGAAGACTTGGATACCTATGTATCACACGGGGGCCTAATGCAGACATCTTACAAGACCCAAAGAACAGGCCAGCTAGATTATTTCACCACTTCACACAACACCAGTTTTTACTGAACCAGGTGCTGCCTCCATTGCAAAGCCAATAAGCAGCAGAACGCACGGCAGTGAAGGATATCATGCATGTAGGGGCAGTTCTCGGCCCGCGCGCAGAAGCCCGTGATGTAGAACTTGCACAGCTCCTTCTTCTTGGGCAGCTCAATGTCGTGGCTGAAGTTGCAGTGCTCTCCCTGTAAATGAATTACACGAATGAGAATTTTTAAAAACAATGTCATTTCCAAAAACGCTCAAATCTGATCTGCTTCTTACATCGCAAGCAGAAAAAAAAGGGTTCGGCTATTCCCCACGCTCCGTCACTCGCAGCTAGGGGACCCTCAACCCTGTTCTTCTTCCCTCATCTTCACTCCTTGTTCTATTCCGTTAAGTCCAGGGTAAACACTGACAGCTTTGATCGCCTGCATACAGGAGTCTACAACACAGCCTAACTTGCTCAAATATGTATGTTTTTTTCTGTGACTTCCTGCAAGGAAATTATTATTTTTTTCTTTATTCTTTTGTTTCTCAGTGAAAATCGAACCGGAAATGTGGCTCGATATCTGCCCCCCCACTGTGCAGCAGCGCACGTCCCAGAGCAACGTACCCAGGTGCAGCGTCCCTCTATGTAGTACTTGCAGATGACCTTCCCCTTCTTGTCAGAGACCTGCTGGTGCGATTTGTCCTGATCACACCTGCGCTGCCCTCCCCCGCCATCCTGCAGGGACACCGTTGAGACACACTGAGTCACCCTAGCAGCTCAGGGTGAGGGAGACAGATGCGGCAGAGGGCTACAGCCAACTTATTCTTAGGCAAATATAGAAGTGCAAACTCTCAGACACACACAGAAAGAGGTCAAAATTCAGTTGGACAAGCAGGTTGGTTTTAAAAGGTTGCATCCGAAAACAAACTACTTTGAGCAACAGCTCAGAGGGAGAAAACAGCCGAAAGTTCAAACAAAGGCTGAATACACGTTTTTCTAAGTTGGAGCTGTACTGAGAGTTAGCTTACGCTTATTAAGTGTTTGGAAAAGAGAAGAGAGTTTGCAGCGGATAAGAGGCACAGACTACAGGAATCAAGAAGCAGGAAACTGCTGTGACAGCTGCACAGAGCTCAATCCACCTGTGGTTACAAGTGTTCTGCTGCCGAAGAGTGAAGACATGCCTGGCAGACCGTGGCTCACTCACCCCCATGTCCATGTCGCCGTTGTTGTCCTCGTCGTTACCCCCGCAGTCCCCGCCTCGCCCCCTGCCTCGGTGGTTCCTCCCCCGGCCCCGGTTCATGCCCCGGCCCCCCTTGCCTCTGCCGCGGCCGCGCCCACCTTTGCCACCTGCCGGAACGGGGAAGGAAGTGACACGGGTCACGGACAGGCAGGGAGACAGCACCGGGTCTCTTGTAGCTGCGCGCCAGCGAGGCCACAGGAGGGCTTGGCTGAAATATTCAATCCAAGGGAAAGGACTATGCGCTCCCCTGATCTCGAATCACCACATGGGTTAACCACTGAGCCCGAGAAAACAACAAAACTCTGCTGTGTCTCACAACGGGCAGCAGGGGGCGCCACACCTCTATGTCTTCACCATACACCCCCATTGCCATACACTCTATAAAGCAAAGACCCTTGGATACAAGATATTAACAAAGGTAATTTTGGGACTAAAAAGGAGCTACTTAACAGTCAGGGCTGTGTGCCTCTAGAATATAGAGCTCTACCAGCCTCCAGTACAGCTGAAGCAGACTCAGGAATTGGCTGAATCAGGTTCTTGGATCAATAAAGTCCAAACTACTAAACAAGCAAAACAGGTGTTAATGGGCGACTCTCTTCTGAAACTCTTTTTTCTCTTCTGACCCCAAAAAAATGCCGGTGAGGCAGACTGGCTATGGCACAGATGTTTACCCAGGCTGTACCAGAGAACCACAGCCATGGCCAGTGCTGGTTCTGCAGGGCACCGGACCTCACCTCTGCCTCGGTTGGGCCCCTCCTTTGCCTTCCGGTACTGGTTCAGCTCTTTGGAGTAATCATCATAATCTTCCTCACACATGTTGTCATAGTCGTCCTCTCCATACTGTAGAAAAACCATACAAACCAAATCACAAAACGCAAAGTTACTGTCAGATGTAACAACCAAACTGACCGAGAAGCATTCTGAATAATCTCTACAAAAATATAAATAATCTATGAGGTATTTTGGTCTTGATGATAATGTAGCCACCCCACCAACCTAACATTTTTTCCAAATACCATCTAAGCAGCTAGCCATTAACTAGTGCTAAAGCGTGTCCCCCTGGTGAGTTTTCTATAAATCTAAACTGTTCACCATTTTATGAATACTCATCTAAGGAACTATAATCCTTTTGTTACGTTTTATACCTGTAATCACGACTTATTTTAACACGTAAAACTTAAAACAAGCCTACAGGTGAGGGGATCTCTGCTGGGCAGCCGCTTTTCATACTGAATGGACCAGGAAATGGTATAAATCTGGTGGAAGGGTGGCAGTCCCCCTTGTAGAAACTGGGCTGCAGAAAATCCAGTGATCTGAACCGCGCCCATTTTCCAGCTCATTTCTTAAAAAACGTCAATGTTACATTTCAGAGAACACGGGATTAGGAGCCGGGCTGAGGTGGGGGAGTGGGATCCGGAACAGCAATTCCGATGAGCCTGCGCTGCCCTGATCCCTGAATTCCCCATGGCCAGCGACGACACCTGAGAAAATAAACCACAGGCCACGGGGCGGCGCCTCACCTCCATGTCTTCGCCGTACATCCCATCGCCGTCGTCGTTCTCGCCGCCCATCTTGCCCCGCCCCCGGCCCCTGCCGCCCCCGCCCCTGCCGACACGCCCTCTCATTCCTCCTCGGCCACGCCCTCGCTGGTTCTTCATCCGCCCTTTGCCTCCTGGGAAGAGAGGAACGCGATGCTAGACCTGACCGTGTGTCGACTTACAGAACATAGCAGGATGTATTTCAGTGCTGCTGCACGGGTAGTGTGCCAAAACAAACATGCTGTAGGAGAGGCCCGCAGTCTACCACACCACCATCCTGTAAGTCAGAGTTAGTAGGGAAGCTTCACCTGGGAAATCAAAGCCCCAACAACTGCAAAATACACACTGTTTTATTACCTTTATCAGCAGCAAGGTAAACCCACAGCTCGTGTTCTAGCTGCTGATGTGAAAAACAACTTCTTGCATTTGTATGCAGGTGTTCATCCCATAGAATCCCAATTTTTTTCATAGTACGGCACCCAGTTGACCCCCAGGGTGACACTGGGCCACTGTGCCTCATCAGGAGCCTCCTCTACAGCAGATCAGCTGGAGGAGTGAGGAATTTCTTTACCAGCTGATTTAAGGGCTAAATCAATTCATGCAGCACTGTTGCAGCATGCTAGCCTTCTCCTGACGGAGAGGAAAGTCCTATCTTTTCAAAATCAGAAGGACATAAACTGAACAAGGAGTCACAAAGTACGCATAATTAAACCTTATGAAATCTGTTGCTTTTGTGTTCCGATTACTCTCGTTTGCTCACCTCTTCCTCCACGGTTGCCGCCTCCTCCTCCTCCACCACCTCCTCCTCCTCCTCCTCCTCCTCCCTCCTTGGCTTTGCGGTACTGGTTCAGCTCCTTGGTAAAGTCGTCGTATTCGTCCTCACCCATCTCCTCATCCTCCTCGCCCTCGTAGTTGTCTTCCTCATAGTCATCGTAGACCCCATAGCTCTGCTTCTCCATCTTCATGTAGCCCCCCTTCTTGGGCATGGGGCCACCGTGTGAGGGAGGGGGGTACCCAGAATGGGGCTGGCAGAGAAAAGGCATGTCCACAGTAAGCACACTGATGCGTGCAATATGAGCACAACTACACTCATGGACAATCACCGGCATCAGGCTCTGTGTGATGTAGGGGGTCGTGCTCCCTGATAAGAATGTATTTTGTCTGCTCTCTTCAGGGCTCGGTGCTGTACTGTCTAGGCATAAATGCTACTCGCCTTGTGGCAGAGCTCTGTGCATCGCGATTCAGGAGAGGTGCTCTATTTTGTCAAGCATCTACAACCAACAGTGCCAAGCCATCTCCCATCATCTCAAACTCAACCTCTCAAAAGTTTGCAATTTTCACGCCTGCTTCCTGGTTGCAGGATTTCTCTGAAATAACTAACGGATAGAGAAGAATGCAGAAGGGTCCTCTGGCAAGAGGCTTCACCTCAACACCAGAGCTAGGAGGGGACTGACCGGCGGTGGTGGGTACTGGGGGCTGTACTCCCGGTACTTCCTGTGGCTCTTCTCAGTGGGGCTGTAATCTGATTCGTCGCTGAAGTCCGAATGGTCATCGCTGGAGGACGCATGCCGCTGGGGAAACACCGAGGAAGAGGAAGATCTTAAGGACGCCAAACAGCGACAAAAACACAGCGTAGGTCCGGTTTCGGCACGGCTTTGCACAATCACTGCTGCTATCAAAACATTTTGTCCTTGCAAGAGGAACTTTCAATGGGCTTTAAATACATAGATGTATCTGGTGTGAGAACAGTGTTTTAAGCAGCATTACACCAGACAGGCTATAAGCTCTCTTTAAACAGAACTATCACCTCTAGCCTTCACAGTCTGTTTGATGTGACTCTAAGTCAGGGACTATCCGGAAACTAGAACAACATTTCTATGCATGTAATATATTCTCATTACTTAAAGATCAATAATATGAAGTCCGAGCTGTGCAGGTCCCCCTGAGTTACTGAACCTCCTGTGCTCAGATGCTGCTCTGCTGTCAGCGAATCTGCAAACCGTGCTCCCTCTCAGACCGAGCATGCACTCCTCTTGTCTCGGCAAGCTGCCCTGGTGAAAGCACGGCTCGGCCGAGCGGCTAATTTAAACTCACTTTGTGCTTGGATTTGCGCCTTTTCTTGGCCCTCCTCTTCTCCTTCTCTCTCTCTTTCCTCCTCTTCCTCTTGCGGCGGTGGGCCTTGTCCTCGTCGGAGCCACTGCCGTGCCGCTCCCTGCCGTGGCGCGTCTTCTCCTGCGGCTCCCCGGCGCCGCTGGGGGCCTCCGCCTCGCCCCCGTCGTCCTCCAGCTCCCCCTCCTCCAGCTCGCCATCCTCGCGGCTGCAGGGACAGGGACAGGGGCGAGAGACGTCACCGCGCGGCCCCTCGCCTCTCAGACCAGGCAGGTATTGGCAGCTCTGGGGCCGAAGTGCGCTCATACTCCTTGACCAATTTCAGCTGGCACTGTGGACAGCACGGCCGTAAAACAGATGCAGCCATACTGGAAAGAAGCAGTATAGCCGCCATAAGATTTTTCACTCTTCTGGCTTGTGTATTAGTCTGCACCAGAAACAGACAGAATCACTTTGAGCTGGGGTATCCCATCCAGGTAGGTCACAGTGCATCTGCAGGTTTTCAACCCAAGGTGAAACTTAAGGAACTAAAACAGCTCATTAATTGGGCCAATTAGGCTACAGTGCACCCAGCTCTCTTTAAAGGGACAGAAATATCCTACAGATACATCAGCCCCTCAGGGACCAGAAACAGATCTTCCAGGTCTGGAGTCGGAACCAAAACAGTAGACAACCACTTAGCTGTTTGTCAGCTGTACATCACAAGTCATAAACAAAATATTCTGCAGAAATGTTTTACAAAGACTACAGCATTGGGGAAGACAAAACAAGACGATTGGAAATCCTCAGTTAGAAGACTGGTGCTTTCTCAGAGATATACGTGAAAGATGCGGTTTTGAGCAATACCACTGCTGCAGAATGGAGGCGAAAAGCATGAGATACAATCATAAACCACTCCATGTCAATAATTAGCTGTCAGTAGTAAATCTGAATCTGAATCTATTTCAGACCTTCGACACTGGCCTGCTTCACAGGTTTTATAAACTGGAATTTCTCTTAACTCCAGAAGTCAAAAGGCTATAATGTGTCCAATAAAAGACAAGAACGATTTCAGTGGGAAAAAAAAGAAACCCGTTTAGGGGTCACTGCCTCAAACATATATGTCCAAAAAAAGGGAAAGGCCAGTTAAATAAGGGACAGCTGAAAGGCAATGACCACAAGACCTGCTCTTGCAACAGATTCCATGGAAGATCTGGGAAGACGATGGGTGGCTTCAGAGTCTCAAAGCCCACAGTCTTGGTGAAGCAAATATTAAACCACCAAAGCAAACACTGTTCCAATAATCAACGGAGCACAAGCAGTCCCGCAGTCTTACTATGAGTTGCTTGATTAGCTGGAGACAGCAGAACGCAGACAGCATTGTCCTGGCAGTGGTCACCAGAGGACCTGACAACCCACTTTCAACAAAACATGATTAACTTCAGAAGCTGATTCAGAGCTCATTTGCCCACTGCACAGAATTTAAGTCTGTCCAGGATTTATCATAAGCAAATCCTGGAGAATCTGTACTTGCCACACTTGAAACACAGTGACAAAACAAGTAATTTGACAAATATGAAATTAAATAACATTAAACTTTTTTTTTCTTCTTAATCAGAGGAACAAACACAAAGAGCGTTCAGGTGTAAGAAGCCTGAAGTGGATCAAATTGCCCGTGCAAAGGGAATCTAACCTTTAGTGCCTTTGTAGTGAGGCGATAGAAAAAGGCTCGTCTCTCCTGGATTAGGGAAATAAAAGATTTTCAAGCTGTACCCTTGACGGTAACACCTCATCTCAGCACTAACAAGATTTCAGGGTGACTAAGTGCACAGCCTTTTAACATCCTAAATTTCAATTACTGTTGTCCCAGGGAGCAGGGATCTCTCACAACCTCTTTAACAACGCTGGCAAGGTTAGCCCCAGCTGTCCTAATTACACACAGAACCCCTTAAAGAGCAGGTCCCTAATGAAGAGAAATGCTGCTGAACAGCAGCACTGGGAGAGGTTACAACACGCTCTGATTAGCCCTGTTATAGAACAAGGAAGTCTGCCTCTCAGCAGAAAGTTGTGTCCCCTTTTGCACCACTGTTTGCTATTTTGTTGAGACTTATTCTGCTCAGAACACTACCTTGTTTTTACTTCACACCCTTCTCCGGTCAGAACACATGAAGAAGGCTCCTTTGTCCAATGAGCATTCATGGCTCATCACGTTATGCCAGCACTGAAGAATTACAGTCTTCAACATTAAAAAATACAACCGGGACACAGTACCCAGAACATAACAGAGCCAACAGATTCTTATCCAAGGGCTCGGCCTCGTGCATCACGCTCTCCTGTATACAGAAGGCAGATTTATATCCCTGCCGTGCACTTCCATGCGATAGCAAGATGGGACAAACAGTCTCACTGTGTTGGGTGGGATGCTGAATGTCACATGTCAGGACACACGCGCTTTTCAACAGAAACCACAGACCACTTCAGATCACATGGCAGTGTTTCAATTAATTAAAAAATAACACTTTGGAGTTGACAAGCAGAAAAATTGGTTTGGTTTTTCCCTGGAATGTCGACACAAGCCCTGCAGGGGAAAGAAGGACTGAAAACTTGGAGAGGAGACGGTTAAGAAGGGAGTGTAGGATCTTTTCAATCAAGGGTACAAATTACAAAAGAAAAAAAAGGCCTGGACTCAGAAACAAGGGAGTTTACTTTACAAGACGGGCTTTATTTGAAATAATGGCTAAGTGTTGAACTGGAGAGTGCAGTAGCCTTACTAAGTTCACCCTCTTGAGAGACGAGAGAGATCTAAGCACTATTCAGCTAACTACATACTGCTTCAGAGTCGCTACGACAACTCATAAGGTTTTCCTCGTCGTCTGTTTATTACAAGTAGTTCTCAGTAGTCACAGGTGCAGACGTTTTGGTTATTTTAAAGACTGAAATCAGCCAGCACCAGAGTCTTTGACTATTCTGTCTCTCCTCTGAAGGAATGCCACCACAGTTTGAATTGAATAATGCTGAAACTTTAGAATCTTTACCATCAAACTATAGCACGACTTACAGTATGATCAACTTACACTTTATCTTATACTTTGCCCCTCCCCTTGGGTTCAGACCCAGGGTCCTGCAATTTTACACTTCCAAGGAGTGCTACTGAGCAGCAAAAACTGGTCACATGCCCTGATCATGTGCTCTCACTGTCAAATTTGACTGAAACACCTCTCTGGTTCACACAGCAACAGGAAAAGCCTCTAAAACGGCAGGAATCTAAATGTACTCACAATTTGGTAAAAGTATAAAATACCAAGCTCCTGGAGACTGGCTTAAATACAAAAGCTGGCAGGTTATAAATCCAAAAACTGTTCAGGCTGCTAAATCAGAAGAATCTTTCTTCCACCTCTGCTCATGTCAAGTAAGAATAAGAAATACTAGACCTACACTGGAAAACTCACAATTAATAAGGTAAGAAAATAGACACGTCTGTGCAAATAGCTGCCAGAAACACTTCAATAGCAAAGCACCCCTACAAGACCCTTCTTGTGCACCAAAACACAGGAAAGAGCTGAAGAGGACCATTTCCAAAACCTGGAGACCCGGGGTGACAAGTGGATTATGTGCAATCTTCAGCCCACATGAAAGAAGTGAATTTACTACCCATAATTTAAAATATTCCTCTGCTACTGGAGGTCAATATTACTGCTTTTGGTAATAATTCTCCTTATCTACAGAATTTACCAAATAAAGCACACTGCTAAATGCTTTTACTGCGAGTGACAATGAGTGTCCATGGCTAGCTCACAGCGCAGCACTATTAAACCAGCGTACAACAGTCAATAAGTGGCTAGTAAAAAAAAAAATCATTACAGTGTTGTTTTCACCCAGCAGGATTTGATGCAGTGCAATTAACTTGACTTTTTAAAGTATTTTTCAGGATTGTAACTGGCCATGTATTGTAAGATCATACTGACAGCTGTCCTGGACTCACAACAGCCCAGTATCCACCAGTCACAGGTCCTAAACCACAAAAGGCCAGATTCAAGGAGCAGTAGTCAGAACTCTGGACCCGCAACTGGAAGCTTATTAAAACACCAGGTGGTGACAACACTGTTGTCGGACCCTTGAACAAGGTAATTTTCTGTTTCAGTAGAATACCTGGCTATATAATTTCAGGTCACTTTGGACAAAAAATGTCAGGCAAAAAAAAGACGGACTATCAGTCTATATGGTGTGGAATTAGTGTAACAGCACACATCACTGTTTGGTTACTTGATAGTTACAGCTGGAGTGAATTCACCCAGAAGAACTATTTATATTCAGTGCACACTACCTACACGACAATCACCCTGCATCCAGGCTGTGCTTTACAGAAAAAAATATCCAAAACTTATTGGGATCACCAACTCACATTCTTCATAAGAGGGTTTCATTCTGTGTGATCAGGCTTTCTTCATTCAAACCTGAACCAAATGACCTCTAACCTCCTCTGGAGGAAGAGCAAAGGGTTTGTTGTTTTAGTTGTGTTTGCTCTGAAAGGGCCTCAGATTAAGCTAGCAGTGCTAGGCACATAGGAAAAATCCACTCAGTGCATGAACAGTACTGTTCTCTGGTCCTGCAGGGCCTGGCCACATTAAAATAAGCAGACATACACCTTCACACTGCAGAATCGTTCTGACGTTCTGCTGAATGCTTCTATGCCCTTGTCATATAAGTCAATTACCTCATCCATGTTGTTCGTCTCTGCTGTAGTTTCTGTCCAGAGATTAGGACACTTTGTTTTTTTGTTGTTGTCATTTTCCAGCTGCCATCTCAATTGCAATGGCAATTATAATATTGAAATATAACAATATATCAATATTAGTATATTTCAATACTACAAATTAATACATAAACAGAACTGAAATGATAATTAACTGTGTCTTCATAAAACTCCAGTGTGAAATTTCTGGATTTAGGATGAATGATTAACTCTCCAGATTTTAACTGTTGCAGTTATGATTATTCTGTTGAAAGGGATAATTATCTGGATGCCTTGTTTAACTGCTGGTGAAAGTGAAAACCATAATAAAGCGTCTCTAGGCTACATTGTGAAACTGCTGGACAGAAATGCAGGTTAAACAGGCTCTGGGCTGAGTGATCTGCCTCGCCTGTAAGCTCTGCTTGAGGGTTTGAAGAGGGGAAAACTCTGTGGCTGCAATGTTAAGTGAGAAGCAGTCTGCCTTGTTTTGTAATTAG